GGCTTTTCCCCATAGTTCTCCTTAGGGTAACGGGAGGACACAAACTAGCGTCCTCCCGTCACCCTAGGCTCCGTATACCGCGAGCTGTAGCTCGCGGTATACTGAGACACCGCAGAATACCGCGAGCTGCTGCACGCGGTATACTGAGGCGCCGCAGCTGAAGCGGAACGTTCAAGAAAACCTTTGTTGGAACGTTCAAGAAAACCTTTAGTGATAGCTGAATCCTGAACTGCTGCAGGATCAGTGTTATTATTGGCTGTACTGAAGTTTGAAGCAGCCTAATAATAACCAAAAATTTATTAATTTATCAAGCAGTAATAGTGAGATTAATGCACAATGACTGCTTGATATAATTAAATAAATAAAACAAACATTTTAAAAGTTTAAAAAAAAATAGTGAAAAGTGTAAAAAAATAAAAATAGTGAAAAGTGTAAAGAAAAAATAAATAAAGGACAAATAAATGAATGTATTTATTGCATTCTTTTTTTTAGCTGTGCTGGTTTTGTAAAAAATACTACAAATCAAAACTGGGAAAAACTTGTTTTTTTTAACGTTTTTTCCTCTTTTTTTATATTTTATTTGTCCTAAGTGAGGCGTTAGACAGGCGTTAGACACAGGCGTTAGACACACATATGTGATATAAATATGTAGCCCTATCTGTCCTCTAAAAAACAATATGTGTGGGTGCACTTTGTAAGAAAGTATATTACTGACATGGAAGAATCATACAGCAAAAATTTCAAAAGAGTGTCAGTCATTTACGAACAGAAACTAAAAACAAGCTCAGTCATGAAGGGGTTAATAAAGTGATGTCTGCAATATATTGCTGTACTTTTGCTTATTACTATAGGACTGTCTGGGCAATTAGGAATCACCTGGTTGCAATGGGCTACAAGAACGTTTTTGTTTCAGACATTTGCACACAGGAGGCTGAATGCACCGTAAATATTGTTACCTCTGAAGGCTGACCTTTTCACAGGTGCCTCGGTGGACATCACACAAGACATACATTTAATGTACTATATTCATAACATGGAAGTCATTAGGAAATCCACTTACGTTGGTTAGGGCCACCATGGGGTTTCCAAGGTCACATACTACCATCCGAGATTCATTTTCCATTTTGTACTCGCAGTTAAGCTGCCGCAGACCCTTCGGAACAGAAATACGGATCAGTTAATTAGTATTTGCCAAAGTCGCACTTTCCTTGGTACATAGAACTGTTCACATCAATTCCAGCCCTGCTCCTACCACAGTCATATACACTCTGATAGGGCCAGCTTTCAGGGAAAGAGATCAAACTACCAGCATGTGTTTAGGGCTGTGGGAGGAAACCTATATGTGCATGATATACAAACTCCATGAAAATAGTTGTTCCTAGTGGGAAATTTAACAAGGAACTAGTGCATCTGTGCCACAATGCTATCACTAATCCACTGCACTGCAAATAATCGTCCACTTAACGTGTATGCGAAACCCTAACAATTCTTCTTGCCCCCTTTTAGACTGTTAATAATATCATTGAAAGCATTTTGTTATATCTGTTTAATAAGTGGAAAACCTACCTATTGGTCATGTAAGAAATTCAGAGCTGTCCTGTGCATACTTCCTGGGCTATCTCAAGGAGGGTCATTATTTCTCATCTTGGAGCACAACATAAAGTCCCCATGTCGTGGAGATAAGGACAGTGGGAGGGATTCGGCAGGTAAGTAAAAGATTACTGGTCAGGGCTGACACCATTTAGACCATACAAATGCTGTGTGTTGTCAGCTCACAGCAAGAAATTAGGAGCTGTGTGCATTTCAGGCAGATCAACTGGTATTCTTCTGTACTTGAAGGGTCTTTAAAGTGCCAAAACATGGGAAAATGTGCGTGTATTGCACAGATGTACTGAATATGTTTTTTAAAATCTTGCCTTGCACTTTAAATAGCAACCACATTTCCTATCGGAAAACAGAATGCTGACACTTTGTTCATGGATACTAAATAGTTATTTTACAGCCAAATCTTTCTTCTAGACATGCCATTCACATGGGAAGGAGAGGAGATGGGAAGGACCCCATGTTTCAGTCCCCTGAATAGGGTATGTCATATCAGATGAAGGCATTATAGTGGCTACAACAGAGTGGTTAGGAGGACATAAGTACAAAAGACTATAATCAAGGGATTTAAAGTTTAGATATCTGAAATTAACCCTAGTCCTAACTAAAACCCTTAAACCTGTATGTAAAATCTATTTTTAAGTATGTTCAGCATCATGCCTCACTATATTAAAAAGGTACAAATGAGGACGGGGTCCATGTATGCCAGCTATCTACTATTAAAGTCCAGAGTCAAATCTGGACTTTAAAACCCCTCAATCTAGTTTCTATCAAGATGCCTATACCCCTTATCTCAACTTTTTACATTAATTTCTTTTTTACTTTTCTAGGTGAATTATTTGTGTTGTGTTTTGCCCAAAATAAACATTAGATTATTTTTTTTTGCATTCAATTATATAGAACTATCTTATTGCATTGTCATTTTCTGGATGATCCCCCGTTTGAGGTATAGGCATCATTATAAATATGTCCGAGGTGTACAGATTTCTTAAAAGAGAACTAAATCCATACTTTTTGGGGGGCTTTAGTCCTCTTTTGGGTCAAAGGAGTAGATTTACTATTATACTCATGTGACCTAAAGTCAGCATGTAGTGGGCAATCCACGCTGTAGGCTGACAGCGCAAAGCCACTCTGCAGCTGGGAAAGATCCTGACAAGATCCCCTCTGGCTGATTGACAGCAGGCTCTGCCTCTCTAGAGCCAGCCCCCTCCCCTGTCTGTCCTTCCAATGAGCACTGGAGGAACAGAGAGGGGAGGGGGAAATCCCTGTGAGGAGTGGTAGCTGATAGTCACCGCTCCCCGCAGGGAGGAGACCATGAGCTAAATGATCTCTCGATTTATAGAGCTGCCATGTGATACCTGCAGTGCCCCATGCCAGCTTTAAGTATTTGGAAGAGTACATTTTACTCTCCCAATACTTATCCTTTAAGCAAATAATTTTTGTGTGAATCTATTGGTGTGCAGCAGTTTTCAGGGGGGAGGGAGGAGCCCAGAGTTGGGTTTATCACTATTATTTTTAGTCATTCCCACAATTTTACAGAAAAAGAAAACACATAAGATAACAGGATGAAACATATAATCAGATCGCGTCATTGTATGGTCTTACACAGCAGGCCATGCCATTGTATGGTCTTACACAGCAGAGTTTTATTTGACACTCCCCAAACTTTTCCTCTGTGTAAACTATAATATCCTTTGTTTTCCTAGTGAACAGGATATTGCGGACAATGAGCTTTATCTTGAAAGAATAGGATATGATGTTTTACATTAACTGTCCTTGGCTGCCAGATGTCTGCTCTGGGAGCTCCGAGCCTTTCTGGCAGAGGGAATTAGCAGGCACATTTCTAATCATTAGGTAGGTGATGCATTCGGATGGGTTTGTTGGAATTTAGCACTTACCTCCATGTGTCGCTCGATGCCTATGTAATCTGCCGCCACAGGTACATTGACATGGAGTTCGGCCTCGTAAGCCCCTTCGCCATCATTCCGTGCGTTTATGGTTAAAAGGATGTGGTTTTCCCCTCCTATGATTAGCTGTTTCCTATCCCTACAAAAAATGAAGCTCACAGTTAAGAAAGTATAATAATGTGCAAAGAAAAAAAAAAGTGCAAAAATGTAAAGGCGCTGCGCTGCTTTGAACGCTATTTTCTTTCTTGTGCCACAATGTAGTTTCCCCTATAGCTTAAAGTAGATATAAACTCTAACTCAGCACTTCTCAATCCTTTTTCAGTCATGGCACCCTTTGAAAGTATGCAAATTCTTGAGGCACCCCAGTCTAAAATGAAATGGATTTTAAGGCGGGACCCCATGCAAAGACACACATAAAAGTTCCCCCTTCACACTAAAGGTATTTATTTTTCTTTACTTCTTTAGCACCGCCCAAACCCCCCCAAAGAGGTCCAAAGCCACTCCATGGCTTTATGAATGGCTCCATGGCTTGGGTGTACTAAGCTAGGTGAGCTAGTCAGTTAAGCAAAAGATATTTAGGTTATCATTATTATAATAAAAAACAGAGGTTTGTTGCTCATTTTAGGGTAGGCCATAGAGCTATGTAAATAATTCCTTTACGTTTCCATAGCCAACTCTCTCCATAACAAAGTTGATCATCATGCCACGAGGATGGAGTTAGCAGAATCAGGGGGTATAATGCTGCTTCCAATGTGAACATATAGCACTTTAAATTTAAAGGAAAAAGAACCTTTCAATGTATTAGAAATCTAAGCAGATCAAAGTAAATATCTAAGAGAAAAAAAAGAAACATATGGTTAATTCCCAAGTCCTTATGTTCTAATCCAGCAAAAACTGCATCTTGAAACTGCTTCTGTGCCTCACAACTCTATGGGGATCCACATGGCTCCATATCAAAGCGCTGTCACATGCTTGCCCGGAATGCTGAGGGACAAACTGTGCTTTGAAGTTGTAGGAGACAGGACCTCGATGTGATGGGGCTCTTCCTATTATTTCAGCACATGGCTATTTCAGGAGGAGCGGCTTGAGAACTGATAGAACAAAACTATTTGCAGCATTTTGTATAGCTAATGCGACCCAGAAAAAGTATGCAAACCAGGATTTCTGATTTTACTGGCTGCATGCTAACTGTACTTAGGGTCACAGCCCAGAAGGTATAGAAGCCAGACATTTTCAGAAGGATAGCAGCAATGGCACTATGGCACTCCTCATACTTCCCTCACTAAAGGCTGACTTGATCAAATCAGCATTAATGGGATCATTCATATAAAATATACAGTAATATACAGAACACAGAGCTGTAACTGTTCAAGATAGTCATCAAGCAGCCACCTGGGTTATTTAGCTCTTGTGTAGTTTTATCTTACATTATCTTACAAGTACATTTATATAAATATAGTGTAATGGGGACAGCTGGTAGTGGCAGCAGTAGTACAACATGCACAAGGAAGAAATACCCAGGAACAGTCCAAGCAGGCTTGTCCTGCACCCTTTTATTCACCAGGGCTTTGTACAGCAAGTCCATAGCATAGACCAAGCAAAACATCAGCTCATCCTAGCAGCTAGCTAAAGGTCAGTTCCTTACTAACAGAGTGCCCCAAATGGGGTCCCCAAAGCAAACAGGGTTTTTAGTGTTCTCTCATATTTATATATAGACCTGGGCACAGATGACTAATAGGTAAGATGTAGCCCTAGAAATGGAGGCTTTTTCAAAGGCAGGAGTGGAGCACTGCCTTCCTGTCTCCCATGCAATAGTGTTGGGTGTCTGAGGGGCTAATCTCCAAGCATCAGACCTTTAACATGGGAAGAATGTTAGTAAGTCACATGATCTCCATACACGGAAGTACTGGGTATTGTTCTTCAGTCCCATCTGCCTGAACTGAGTGATGGAGGGTAAAGGGAAAGTATGGGCTCCTGGTGTGGCTGCAATTTTAGGTAATAGGTTGCTTTGTCCTGAATGGTGCCAAGCACATGTTTGTTTTGAAGCCAGGTGGGGAAACGTTTCCTTTTCACCTCCTCTGCAGCACTGAAAACCCAGCTTTCAACAAAACATAACTCATTACATATTACTTGCCATTTACCTTATGAAAGACCTGAATGTGAACCTAAAAAATACCTTTCAGTGTTCCATGGTTCGAGCTCAGCTCTCTTCCTGAACTCACTATAGTCTCACTTATAGCCAATGAGGTCATGGTTCATGGAGGCTTCCGTAATCGTGCATGTTAGTGTTCATGGAGGCTACAGTGTCAGAAGGCTGCTGAATCTGGTTGCACTGCGTTTAATGGGGACAATGTGTTTTATTTTTGACCAAAAGCAGTTCACCAATTTTCTTTTTGTTGGTTCCTTGACGCTGAACTTTAATTATTTCCTGGACAAAAGCACGGAGCAGGAAAACATGTTTACTTTGGTGCTTGTGGGTGGATTACGGTGGACTGCGATTTAATAATAACCTAAATGCCTTTCTGTTTTAGCCCTCTAGATAGACACATCCTTTTGTATTCAAATGTTTATCTCAATCAGGAAGCGGCGTGATTGCAACCATGTACGGCTGACACCAACATCCTATAGCTTGCATCAGTATAACTCGATAATCACAGTATATAGAACAAATAACGGGTATGATCATTTGTAGTCTGCCACACTAAATGATAATATTTAGTGCGAATTAAGCCTTCCTAATTAACCGCGTATGAACTTAAATTCCGTCTGGAGACAGCGCTCCGTCGGGCCGGTTTAAACTGACATACACAAACAATCACAATTACAGTTAAATATATACAGTAGGCCTCCGGAACTTCAACAAATCAGCTTTAGATTTAGGAGACTTTTATTTATTCTTCTTTCTGTGGGGGGCTTTGGCTTGTCCTACATACATTTATTTAAGCCTACAGACCCTCCTGGCCCCAGGGGACCCGAAAAATATGTTTAGATACAAAGGCTAAATTATTCTGTAGAAGAAAAAGACAAATATTCTGTGGTCTCCTTATAGCACGTTTGGCCTTGACTTTTCTTTGTGATCTGCAATCATATTGTTCTACAAACTGAAGTTTATTTCATTTCTGTGTATGTGTTTGTTTAACATGTCGCCGAGCTCTGTCGTTTCCTCTTACAACAAACATCACAGTTTGGGGTCTTGGTTATGTTAGAACGGCTCTTTCTTATTTTTCTCTTTATTTTTTCAATGCATGTATTCCAGTCCTATTCACACCACAATGTTGTATCAATTGCACAATACCGTACGCACGTTCACATGCGCACATAGGGAGCGTTAGCGGGCCCTAGGTGTCTTGCATTGCCATTCATTTAAATCGCACCCCAATGCATCTCCCGGCCACTGCTGCAATGCTACGCCGTGCACTGTCATGCAAAAAGTTGTGAATGCACTTTCGCCACAACACAACACAATACATGGTATTGCACTACCATGCACTGCACAGCTCTGCAGCACACAGCGGCTAGGAGGTGCTTTGGGATGCCATTCAAATGAATGGCAGCACAACGCACCTAGCAAGGGTAGCTCTTGATAGGTGCGCTCTTCGATAGCGCGCATTGATTGAAAGGTATCATGCAATTACCGCAACACTGTGGTATGAATTGGGTCCTCAATAAAACAAAGCAAATATATTTATTTACACTTACGACTGGGCTGAAAGTTTCAGGTCAGGATTGCACATATTGTCATCTCCACAATCTACGAGAATGTGTGCCTGTACAGCCAAACAAAAAAAAAACATAATTTCCATCTTCCTCCTTCATTGCACATAAAATAAACTGATTTTTGAAGACCAAAATGGCCTTCCATTTGATGTGACAAATGCATATATAATTTTTTTTTTCTTGATAAAAATTACAAAAAAATGGAAATAAAATACATTTTTCACAGTTTTGACAATATTATTGTGTACATCATTAGAGTAGCTAACGGAAAATAATTCATAATAAATTATTTTATGTGTCCTGATTTATAGGGTATACCATATATCTGGGATTTCAGTTTATTTTGGGAGTTATAGGTCACAAAATAGTGTATTTTGTGAAATACAATTTGTGTGGAACAATTTTAGAATGTGTTATGTTTGTCTGCTAACTTTAATAGCCTGCTCAGCTGTATATTTTCTTATCAATTTTTTTATTAAACATTTTTTTTAAACTGTTTTACTTTTTTTTAAATGAAAATAAAAAAAATGAAAATAAAAAAACTGTTTAAAACTTTTTTTTAAAACTGGGGGCACTAAAGGGTTTTTTTTTTATTATTTGCAGGGGCTTTGGATACTAACAGGGTTATTCACAAAAGGGTGAAGAGTTTGGAGAAAGCAGGAGAAGCGACCAATCTAGGCCAAAATAGCTGATTTGGAAAAATTCTCCAATTCAGCTCACTTTCAAGTTCAGCTATGTTTTCCTAGATTGTTCACTTCTCCTGCCTTTTCCAAACCTTTCACCCTTTTGTGAATAACCCTGTAAGTATTCTGAGGAGACACAGTATTCTCCTCAGAGATACTTAGTATCACTTTCGTAAAACACTGATCCGGCTTACATCTCCACAACACAGGGAGGTGCAAGCCGGCTCAGTGGCTGTATCAGCACTGTGAGAACTGGGATTAGCTAGCACAGTGATCACAGTGCCAGGACCCAATAATGTGCTGTTGAGGGCTTGCCTCAGACACTGAGGGACCCTGCAGCAGCATTACCTCAATGACCGCCGGTCACTGTATGGACAAGTGCTCATTTTACTGCATGATGGGATTATTCCATCACCAGTCTTTAATGAACTGAAAGACCATAATGGAATAATCCCATAATCGGTCGTGAAGGGGTTAAAACTTCCAGTGTAAAAATTAATGTAAAAACTTCCAACTTTATAGGGCCACTAGGTAAATGAAACACACAGTCAAGTCAAGAAACATGCAAAACTGCTTATATCAAACAACTAAAATCATCTTTAATTCATCCGGCATCAGCAAAGTGAATTTGGTTTGTAGTAGTAGTATAGTAATAATAGTAGTTAATTATGTAATGGGACTTGAATAAGTCTATTTATATTTTTATATTTGCAGGCAGCAGGCAGTTGAATAATGCCCTAATGTATACCATTGTCTTCTATTTTCTTCTTTTCTATTTTTGGAATAATGGTCTGCCAGGAACCAAATGTGTGACACGTGCTTATGCTTGTAGGCAGGCAGTAGTAAGACATGCTGTACCTGTTCCTGCAACCGTGGCTCCCTAAATTGATTTAATATGGGTTTTAATTCCTGCTCATTTAAGTAGGCAGATTCATCCAAACTGTAATTCAAGTTGACAGTGATAGGAGTGAGTTTGTCGCGAAATTCAGTTTCTTCCTACAAGAAAAAATCAACCAAAAAGCTTTAAAATGTTTGTTGAAAACATTTTATTGGATGTAGAAAACCACACAATTTAAGCAATCATATACTGTATATAGCTAACAGACACATAATTATAATTTTACACAAAACATTATTATATCTAATCTAGGGATGCATCGATATCGGGGAAGCTGGCTCCATGTTGTCTAGCCGGCTTGATTGTGCTTCGTCGGGAAACCGGCTTCCCAGCCAATCAGCATCGAGCCGGGTTGCTAGCCAATCAGGGAGTCAGGAGGCGCGTAATGACCCTCAGCCAAGCTTCCAGATTGGCTGGGAAACCAGCTCAATTCTGTTTGGCTGGAAAGCTGGCTTCCCAGCCAATCAGCATGGAGGCGGCTGTTCAGCCAGCTCAATGCTCGTTCTCCCGGCCAATCAGGAAGCTAATCATTACTCACTTTCCAGCTTACTGATTGCACAGGAAGCTGGCTCCATGTTCCCCTATGGCACTGTCGCTCAGAGGAAATCTTCCTCTGGCCAGAAGTTCTAGTATCGGGGGTATCGGAGAATTTGGGCGAGTATGAGTGCTAGTATCGCTACATCCCTAATCTAATCTATAATTAATCTATACAGCACCAGCATCTTCCATAGAGTGCAAAAAGAAAGAGGATTTGTCAGGTATAGAAAGACCATAAAACAAGTGAGTTACAATATAAATCAGAGAGAATAACTCCAAATAGAAAAAAAACATACAGGGTTATTCACTAAAGGGTGAAGTGTTTGGAGAAGGGAACAAATTCTCCTGCCTTCTCCAAACTCTTAACCCTTTTGTGGATAGCCCCCATAATGTTTAGACTTAAATATAATGTAAAGATAGATTTGGAAGATGTGTTTACATTGTGTAGATAGCATCGGGTAGGGCTGCCTGTACATGCAAGGTTTGGGACCCTCTGACTTTAGGATTTGCTGGTGGGTCCACAAACATTTCTGTTTATATTACCATTGTCTCATGGAAGAACAGCATGGGAATAAGGGGCAGCATTGTTCCTGAGTGAAGACTGAGCACTTCAAAGCATTTTCTATGGAGATTCACTACTTAATGTCTGACTACAGTAAAACACAAGGACTAGTTTAGGCAAAGCAATTAAAGTCTGACACTTTTTTGTCTCATAGTCCCACGTGTTATTATTTGTGACTGTTGTTTGGTTTGAAATGCTTTAAATTATTTTCTTCCCTCTAGAATGTGGCTTTCTTCTCTCCCACTGCAGTGGTCTGTGCGGGCAGAGAAGAGTAACAGCCACACCCCTGAGCACCTGCCTCACACAGATAAGGGGATGTTTGACCAGGTCTTTATCATTTATGAGCATAATGGGTCCAAATGTGGTGTCTACTGGACTGTACAGTCATATTCAGATGTGATATATTTTTGTTAAACTCACATGTAAGAATCTCATCCTTAGTTCATAAGTACAAGAATAGCTTGGCTTTACTTTCATCTAAAAATACCATTGTTTGTTACATCTCCTGTTACGTACTTACTCTTAGATAAACAAGAAAGTTTTTGCACTGCGTCTCCTTTTCCCGTCCCACTACCACATCAAAGGTGTTCTGCGCAATGCCACTGTCAAGAAACAGTGTCCTCTTCACAGCTCCTTTCTGTTTCAACCAGTCCAACTCAAGATCAGCATTCAGGACTGTGAAGAGAGACATATAAAGATAAATATTCCTAGTACAGGAAATGGAACATATATCCAGATAAAGAAGTGTGATTTGCATTAGGGCTGGATTTAGTCATCCACCACCCAAGGCCAGTACGCTATGCAACCTTCACCTTGGCTGCTATGCTATGACACACATGACGTCTCATCTCAGGAAAGCAAAATGGAGGACACACTGGGCAAACATAAATGAAAGTACAACTCCTAGGAAAACTTTTTTTTTTTTTTCAACTTTTGGACAGAATGGGATGCAGTGAGAACATCCGTATTGGGGGATATTTTCCTTCACTTCGTCTCCCAGAGACTCAAACGAAGTGAAAATCCTCCTTAATTCAGAGGGGATCCCACCACTGTCACTGTATTAGGGGTTATTGCCCATGGTAAAATGCAGTTTGAGTTCTAGTGCATTCGGCTTGCATTTGACATCAGTTTGAGACGCTTTTCAGATCATTTACAGTTCATTGTATTTGATCTGGAGCCGACCTCCTTCTGCCCTGTATTTTACCTCCTTCTAAGCTGTATCAAGCAGAGACAAGCTAATTTTGCATTTCCAGTGACTTGTAAAAGAAGCAGTTCTGACAGAAACAAAGGCCCATCATCACAGATGGTTAGTCCTTAAAGTACATCTAAAAGGCTCCTATGTGGTAGTCTAAACAGGTCTCAATCGAGTTATTATGTGATGTACGAACCTCAAATAAAAGACAGCAATAAACCGAAAACTAGAAAACAAAAAAACTTCAAAACTAGAAAATAAAAAGAGTAAAAACGTATCTATTGTAGTAGTATTTATATAGAATGACCCACCTTACTGGGAAGATACAGTGTAAGCAAGTCAACAGCTGTATACAGTAACGTACCTATATTATGTGGAATGCCTTGTCCTGACACTTTTACACAGACGCTCACAGTGAAACTAAGAAAAAAAACAACAACCCGTTAATACCCACATTCTTTAATCAAACGTTAATAAAACTACATTTCATTTCTGCATTGGGTTACTTTTGGCAAAACTGTCTTCACATTGAACGTAAAAAACATAAACTCTGAAAGCTGTGCCCAAAAAGCCAGGCAGAGAGCACAGGACTAATCACCAGTTTAGCCTGTAGTCACCCTACAGCTGATCTTTTCCCTTATTACTGACTTATCATGTCTTGTTCTGCACCATGTCTCTGTGTGGAGGCGGCCTTCTTGGTATAGGGCTTTGCTTCCTCATGTCAAAGCTTCCCTCCACTAAAGACTGGTAAGGGAACATTCAAGAAGCAGCAGGAAAGGTGGAGGAAGCACAGATCCACAGAATGAAGGAAGCAGAAGCAGGGAGATCCTTGCACTGCAGGTTTTCAGGTAAAGCTTCCTCTCCAGGAAGGAGAACATTGAACAGCACAGTAGTGACATTATCCAAATCTCACTACAAAGCTAGTGAGACTAGCAATCAGAGGCGGCAGTGGCTTTGATGATCTCACACTACAGGTATCTATGAGACTAAAAGTACGAGTGCCTAAGCAAGAGAAACTCACTGCCATTTTTTCAGGAGGAATTGAAGACAAAACGTTGATTTTTCTGTGTACTGCTTAGGCACAATTAACATTTCTAGATATTCCCTACAGGACTGAAACACACCTTTATGCTGTGGTGCAGTAACATTATGTGCAGAGGCGACTCTAGAGTTTGCGAAGGCCTTAGGCAAGATGGTAGACCCCACAGAGCCCTGGTTAAACCAGGGCTCTGTAGGGTCTCACCAGCACCAGGGCTATGTGGGGTCTCACCAGCCTGGTTAAACCAGTCAGAGCCCTGGTGAGACTCCACAGAGCCCTGGTGAGACCCCAAAGAGCCCTGGTTGAACCATGGCTCTCTAGGGTCTCACCAGGGCTCTCTAGGGTCTCACCAGGGCTCTCTAGGGTGAGGCTCTCACCAGGGCTCTCTAGGGTCTCACCAGGGCTGCGCGGGCCACGTCTCACTGATGCTGCACGGGCCGGGACCGGGTCTTCCTAGGGATGTGTAGGCCACCTCTCACCAGGATTGTTCAAACCGGTCCAACCAGGGCAGTGCAGGCCATGTCCCGCTAGCGGGAGTGTGCAGGGCCAGGTGCCCACGTCTCGATCTGCCTCTGATGCTAAACTCTACCCTCGCAGCCAGATTGAGATCCTCATGCGGTGGATGGGAGGGGTGACATCTTTTCTCAATAGCTGGTGGGTGGAGCTCCAGAAGGCCGAGTGGATGGACCGAAGAAAGGGATGAGCTTTCAGTTTGACAGCGACAGGGCTGAGAGCTCATACGTTACCTGGCTGCACCTGTGAGGTAATGTGCCGGCAGGGCAAATTAGGTGGCTACGGGGCCTTAGGTGACTGCCTAATTTGCCTAATTAAAGAGCCGCCTCTGATTATGTGTGCTAGTGTGCTGCTGTGCCATTAATTATAAATGCACTAAGGCACCACATAGTAACACACTGCCATGCACTGTGGTGCGCTGCATCAAAAAATGCTACATATCCATGTTTAGGTCCTTTCAAAACAACTGGGCTGCCTTAACGCAACACGCATGTGTTAATGTAGCACACAAGAACGGTAAAAAGTGATTGGGTCCTAATTGGGGGACATTAACGAACGTAGGCTATAAAAACATTTCATCCTGGGTCATTTTTAGATTTTTTTTATTGAATATTGTACAACTTATTTATTTTACTAGTTTTGCAATACTGATATTTAAAGTTCTTTTAGTACAAAACAAATTTTACTAAGTTCTGTCGGTTTTTTTTTAATGTTTCTGTGTCCACAGGTAAAACAAAAGGTGTAAGGGGCACTTGATAAACTGCCCCCTGATGTAGCAGTTCATTCCTGGCACGCCATAGCCATGAGGTCATAATGATGTCGGGCTTGCTGCTTCGTCAAGTTTCCATAGGACTGTGACATGTCAGATACACAGAGAAAAAGGGGAAGAGGAAATTCCATGCACCTCTACAGGAAGAACTCTATCACAGTAAGTGCTGCAAGTCACCACTGTGGCCAGCGTAATTACATCTCTTCTATGCACCATTAACGTATCTTTAGAAGATGCTAAACAATCCTCTAATCATAATGCAGCGAAGCTGAAGATTGACTTCCTCTTTAATGTGATTAAACTGAAAAGGAGCTGACATCTGGCTGGTCTCATACCGCACTTGAGGACAAATTTCCTACACACTATTAGGGATGATAATGTCAAGAACGTGGAGAGTAATTACAGCAGAATACCGCGGCTCTCCTGAGAAATCAGGAATCTACGGGTAATTTCTCATGGGAGATAAATAGTGAACTGATTAAAGTACTAAGATGCATCCTGTTCCGTGTTGCCTGATAAGAGCCACCCAAGGCCCATTCAATTATATCTATCTATCCATCTATATATATATAGATAGATAGATATATATCATATATTTACTTACTAAAGGGGGCAAATAAGAGACGTTCATTGTTACACGTTACATACACTTTACCGTTGTTACGTCCTTTATGGGCATACAATTTGTATAGGTTATTATATTGTATAGATCATTGTTCTTTCTGCCTTACAGTTTTACATTTTACCAAAACGTGGCAATCTCTTTTAAAGCCTATGTCTGGATTTTGTCTAGGGCAAAAACACTTTTACTTACCTGATCCCCGCTCCCGCGGGTTCCAAGTCCGGCACCCGCTGCCTCTTCCCCTCTCCACTCCGGCGGTTGGAAACCCACTGACGTCATCATGTTTAAAGCAGGGTCCTGCATTAGATGTGAAGACACCAAGGAATAGCTCACAGGTGGAGCGGAGGGGAAAGTAGTAAGTGATGACCACAGGGGGAGCGAGCATCAGGTAAGTAAGTCTGCTTCCCCATGAAGTAACGACTTCCCCTTGAAGTGGAGCTACCCCTGCATGGCACCATTAAGCTACTCCTTTTTTCTTACCTGATCCCTGTTTCCTCGGCCACCGGCACTCACCTCTCTCCCCTCTGCTCCATCTGTGGACTATACTTTGGAGCCCCCAAATCTAGTGCAGGACACTGCTTTGAACATGATAATGTCTGTGGGCCTCCGACTGCCGGAGTGCAGTGTGTGCCGGTCTTGGAGCCAGCAGCAGCAGGGATCATATAAGGGAAGCTTTGGCACTCCAGCTGTGCTGAAACTACCACTCCTCTCATGCTTCTGCCTATGGGTGTCAGGGCTGTAGCTGTCAGAGTCTTGCAATGCCTCATCGGACTTGTAGTTTCACAACAGCTGGGGTGCCAAGGTTGCCTACACATGAGTTACATTGTTCCCAGTGTAGTCGGTCACAGTTTTGCACAGGCTTGGGTGAACTCAGGTGAACTCGGTTTGCACCGAGCCCCAGCGCATCAAATTTTTGCAACCATGGCAAAAGTCCACTGAATTCCACATGCCAGAATTCCTATCACCTAAACTAAAGAACTGTTTCTTAGGTGGCTCACGGGAAAAAAAAAAAAGATTTAATCCCCTTCTACGAGTGTGCATTTAAAATACACCTACAAAAATTTTAGCTCAGCGTATTTTATTTCACATTTGCATTAATCTAACACATTCCAAACCTGACATTAAGCATTACCTCACAAGACCGTGATTGTCAGGAAAATGATTTGCTCTGTTGGACCGCATTCCTAAACTGCGCTGATTCACACGTCAACAAATTACTGTCTGCACAGCGGTCCTAATGCCTCTCATCTGTTGCTCGTTATGGTTCACATTGTGGGGAATCATTACACGCAAGTGCTCTAACCTATAGTGACAAACCCGACATGTTTCCTTTCTCTCTCCAACATTAACAAGCTGGAATAGCAGAAAGTTGCTGATTAAAGCTGAACTCCAAACAAGCATCTAAAAGGCAGGCAAACTGACTGCAAAAAGCTGTTGCGACTCTGTTCTGAGGGTTTTATGATCCTGGCCCCAGAGACGGTGCGGTCAGGTTGGTGACTTTACTTTGCTCCATGTTGATAAAGCAATGCAATTTGGTCACTAACCCTCCCTTGTCTTTTCGACTGGACAGTGAAGGAGAATTGCTTCATTAGTGAGGTCATCCCTCTGCTCACTTTGTCCTCTTCTCCTGTCAGAAAACTCTCTGTGCTAGATTGACAGCAGTGGGCAATGCAGCCTTCGAACTCTCTGTGCCAGGGGTAGGCCCCGTCATGCCTTTGCCTTTGGGAGCCATGTCTATGGCTGTCGGAGTCTTGCAATTCCGCATGGGACTTGTAGTTCCATAACAGCTAGAGTACCGAGGTTGCCTACCCCTGGTCTATGCAAATACTGAAAGCTTTGCCCTTTCAATGGTCATGATCTGTGTTTCTGAAGACATAATTTGAAAATAATCAGCTTCTGCCAATATATGTATCAATCTAATAGGACTAATAGACCGTAAGCTCCTCGGAGCCGGGAAGGTTTCAGTTTTATGAATGAATATGATAAACAATAATGGGAAATAACTGCGTCATGACAATACCAAGCCAGTGCATACTGAATCTAGCCATACACCTTAGATAGATTATCTGCAGACTTTCTATGTTCAGATGGAAAACGTGCAACAGATTCCTCCATCTACGCTAAACAATGTGTATGGAGAAATCTCCCGCTGGGCCAAGCTTCAGTATCTTGCTAGTTGGCCCCTGAATAATCTGATTGGACGTGTCAAAGAACCTCAGCGCTGAATACTGAAAAATGGCCTGGATGGGAAGGGGGTTTAACACCCCGGACTTCAAGTGGTTAATGGTGCCCATACAGGTACAGATCCAAACACACTATGAATGGCTGATTTTAGCTTAAATTTAGCTTAGGGAAATTGCAAAACTAACTGTGCAGTGGAGCTCTCCTTGCATTGCAAGGGGTAAATGCTCATTTTGTTGTCTAGGTTTCCATTAAGCTAGCTGTACACTGGGCAAATCGTTTCTGACTCAAAAGAAATTGTAACCAGTGTGTGGCCCAGGCAGCACACCTCTATTCCACAAAAGTTTCCAGTCAACTTTTGCAGAAGGAGCTGTTCCAAAAATCTTCTGCTCTGTTCTGTCACTGTTCTGGTATTCTGAGAGTGCACAACAGTCAGAATACAATAGACCGGTAAGGGGATTCCCCCCATCCGTGCTGTTAAGATGAATTAGGGAACCGTGGGCTGAACGTGTATGGCCAACTGTAGGCTGCTGTCACCAGAACAGCTGTTCCCATTGGAAGATATATCATTAAGCTAGCTGTACACTGGGCAAATCGTTTCTGACTCAAAAGAAATTGTAACCAGTGTGTGGCCCAGGCATCACCACTCTATTCCACAAAAGTTAATTTTCCAGTCAACTTTTGCAGAAGGAGCTGTTCCAAAAATCTTCTGCAGTCACTGTTCTGGTATTCTGAGAGTGCACACCAGTCAGAATACAATAGACCGGTAAGGGGATTCCACCCATCCGTGCTGTTAACATGAATTAGGGAACCGTGGGCTGAACATGTATGGCCAACTGTAGGCTGCTGTCACCAGAACAGCTGTCCCCATTGGAAGATATGCCGCATCTGGAGAAATCCTTAGACCTTTTTGTTCATTGTAAAAGATCAGAGGGAAAGAAAGACATAAAAACAGAAAAGGAATGGACAGCTCAGAAAAAGCTAATATCAAAGGAATATACCAAACCATGTAGTCACTAAAAACCAGTCTACCTTTCTTTCACTGCATTGAATGAGTACCAAAACATAGATTGTAGTCTACAGGGGCCCCAAAGGCAGCAGGTTAGTGAGCAGGTGACTATATTGATCATCAATCGATGTATTGTGTGTATGACCTACATATATGGACAGCTCAGAAAAAGCTAATATCAAAGGAATATACCAAACCATGTAGTCACTAAAAACCAGTCTACCTTTCTTTCACTGCATTGAATGAGTACCAAAACATAGATTGTAGTCTACAGGGGCCCCAAAGGCTGCACAATAAGTGCAAAGGGCTTCATGGGGCCCCCAGGCAGCAGGTTAGTGAGCAGGTGCTATATTGATCATCAATCGATGTGTTGTGTGTATGGCCTACATAATGATGATGTCCATCCCTGTATGTCCCTTTCCCCCCAGTTGTGAGTCCCGTGTGTGCCTAAGCCCCGTTTGTTATTGTATGTTGTCTGGTCCGTTGGGACGCAACACAGCCGTATCCTCTGCACGCATGCACTCCATGAGAGGTATGCAGTACACAAAATAAGGCGCATGCCTTTTGATATGTGCGACAGCCCCACTACATTACATGCGACTACGGAGTTTTAGTTGAGAGGGCATATGCATATCTACCCACTGCACATGTTCTAAAGAAATGGAATGTGACTGCATACGATGGGACTAGGTGGATGATCGGACGTGTCTGTATTATGTTTCTCTGTATTCTTGTACTATTTTTGTACTTTGTATATTGAAAATTGAAATAAAATCTTCTTATTTAAAAAAATAAATATGTTGACTACTTGGTTTTTAAGCAGCAAGAGCTTTAACTTACCAAGTCACCAAGGTGTCAGAGTGGGGGAGCGGACAGCTTTTGCTCTCAGGATTTAGAATCGTAGGGTTGAGGAGAAGCTGAGCATCCACTGTAACTACAGGTCGGGCCCTGAAAGAAGAATATATAACACAACAGCTCACTGGTACTGAGAAATATTTAAAACAGCAACACAGCAGTATTATTTGTCAGATAACATCATTGAAGGCATGGAGACCTATAATATAGATAGAGATTCCTAGCTTACGCCTTTCCAGTCAGTATGCTACCAATGCTGCCCAGCAAATACAGCAACTATGCTCAGGCCTTGTATTGGTCTTTAAACCAATCCATGTGGAGCCCCTTGAATTCTAGGCCCAGGCTGTACATGGAGCCCCGACTTCTACCCATGTTGAGATTAAAATCCTCCCCATTATGACTTGAAGCCTCACGTGGTTGACATTCAGTTGTGAAATAGCAGAATGTCAGTATGCAGTAAAGGCCCATTTAGATGCCTGCATTGTTTTAACAATTGCAGGTTAAAAAATGCCAACCCCCCTCCCCCCCCCCATAGAAAATGGCAGACCCGCAGGCTGCATACAAGTAATCTCGGCGAATTCGCAGAGATCACTTGTACAAAACAAGCGGCGGCTTCCCCACAGTACATTTAGCTCTGCTTGCCCACAGCAGGGCAAAATGTAGAAAACAACTACCCGCCCGGAACTGCATGTCCCGGGCATTGGGAGATAGGAATTCCACACCCCTGTTGCCCCTCTACTCTCTGCTGCCCCAAGGCCGGGCCTTGGTTGGCCTTGTGGGAAATCCGGCCCTGTGAACATGTGTTGGGTTAACGCACCACAACAAAATATACTCAGAAATATACTATTTGTTCTGAAACAGTGCAACAGAACACACAACATTCTGTTGAAGGTGCGTCAGATCATTACATTGGGGTCCCGTTCAAAATAAACACCCTGCACTGTGTAGTCTAAAAGTTCTGGCATTTGACAAATGAATGACAAGAACGTGGCTTAGTGTCAGGACTGGGCGAGACCTAATGTCGACATGGCAAAAGTCAAGGTCCCATGTACAGCTTGTGCTAAAGATCCAAGGAGCAACACAGCGTGACACCAGACATCCCAACTCTCCCGGACGTTCCGGGAGTCTGCCGCTATTAGATAGCTGCTCCCGGCCGCCCAGGAGAGTAACATTTTCTCCCGGAAAGGTTTACTCTGCTCTATCTAGCAGAGTAAACCTTTCCATGCTATCTGTTTTTTTTCTGACATTGGGACCGGCATCCAGCGTCAGGCAGAGAAAAAAAAAAACAGCATAGGAATGAATAGCTAGATTGCTATTGGCTACTTCAATTTGAAATAGCCAATAGCAGACTAGCTATTGCACCCACCCACTGTCAATCAGCAGAGGTGGACCTGAAGTTTTCCATCAGGTCCTCCTCTGCTGATTGACAGCAGCAGAGGGCGGGTGCAATAGCCAGCTTCCTATTGGCTATTGCAAATTGAAATAGCCAATAGCAATCTAGCTATTCATTCCTATGCTATTTTTTTGTTTTTTGTATTCTGACAGCAGGAGCTGTCAGAACACTAGAAAATACCCAGCAGATAGCACGGGAAGCAATAGCTTCTTTGCTATCTGCCATCATTTCAGGGGGGTGCGATGACAGAGGGCACCTCCCTGAAATGAGAAGGCACCTCCATGAAATTCCTTTTTTAAGGTAGGGATCGCTGTGACACAGTTGATCTGAAGATTATCTGCAAAGTGCCAGTACTATTGTTACGTCAGAAACATTTAAGGCCAGGTCAGGATCACTTAAGGGCTAGCTTTACATCTATGGATTGCAGTAAGGCACCATGCATGCGTTACTTTTCGATGCGCCATTCGCTCGGAATCACCTCCCAATGCACGAAAGGAACGCACTTTCAACCATGAATCATGGTGCTCAGCAGTGGGAAATAGTGCAGGTGTGTTTTCTGGCCCATTAACGCGCGTGCTGCACTGGATCGGAAAGGCGTTAAACATAAGCTGTATGTTGTTTCTGTAAGGCTTTGTAGGACCTACCTGTAAACTGCCACTTTTTCTACACCAAAGGCTCCAACAATAAGATCTGAAGAAGGAAAACAAAAGAAATATTCTTATCTGTCTACTCTTACAAAGGTGGCAATAATCCGCTCTTACTACACAGTGGCCAGCAGCAGAGAAACAAAAATCCCCATACTGTGATCTACTCTCATGAATGTCTTGAAAGCTAAGATCTGATAGGTCACTACAGACTACTAAATATATTAAATATGTTGTACCATGAAATGAAAAGTGATAATGATATTAACATTGTTATTCTATTTAATTATTTAATGAGTAAAATGCACTTACACACAGCAACCAATCATCAACCAACTGATCAACTATTGTTCTGACTCATGTGAACAGGAATCTGGTTGGTTGCTGTGGGATGCTAACTTTGCACATATATGTATGTGGGCTACCAGTGCTGTCATCCTGACAATGATTGATCTCTGGCTGCCTTGCTAATCCTCTGGCTTCATGGACTGCATATGAGTCACTGATCCAGGACACATATGCAGCCAGTAAAGTCAGGACTTTGCTGCGGCTTCATAATTGTTCCGGCTCAGTGTGCATTGATGCCAGTGGTTCAGCATGACAACCAGGAAGCATTTTCTGAAAGAAAGGAAGCCATCATATTTTATTTCTTTATTACAGGTATGTATATCACACCATCAATTTTCCAAGTACTTTACATACTGTTCATTCCCCATCCACAGGGAACTTGTTATTATTACAGGTATTTATATAGACAACAAATTACACAACGCTTTACATAGTTGCACATTCACATCAGTCCCTACCCTCAAGGAGCTTACAATCTAAGGTCCCTAGCTCACATGCATACATACAAGGGCCAATTTCAACAGGCGCCAATTAACCTTCCAGCATGTCTTTGGAGTGTGGGGGGAAACCCATGCAAGCACAGAGAGAACATGCAAATTCCTTGACCTGACCAGGACTTAAACCAGGGATCCCCAGTGCTTCAAGGACAAAGTGCTCACCAATAGGCCACTGTACTGCCAATATAAGGTCCCTATCTCATAAGCACACATAATAGGGTCAATTGACCTATCAACATGTCTTTGGAGTGTTGGAGCAAACCCATGCAAGCATAGGGAGAACATGCAAACTCCTCATATTGTCTTGACCGAACCTGGATTCAAACATGTATTTGGCATGTGGTAAGAAACCCATGCAAGCACAGGGAGAAGATGCAAACTCCTAAAAGTGTCCTGGCTGGACCTGGATTCAAACTAAGTACCCGTGAAGTGCTAAAAAACAAGCCACTGTGCTGCCTATATAACCTTAGCACGGGTTTCTGTCCTAGTGCTGTCACTTGGATTGAATGGTGATCAACTCTTGGAGCGCCTTTAGTCTGAATGACATCAGGCCGCTTTGGCTATCAGCCATCTTTTCCAAGATGGCCACTATTGAGCTATGACATTAAAAGCTAACTTAACTGAATGTGAGAACACAAATCCAGTTTTGAGTAACTAACTGATACCTTGTAACCTGCCCTGTGGGCTGTCTAGGAAGTATTAAAATGATGTGTTCTTTAAACAAAATGAGAGGAACTTGGCTGGGTCTAAACTCAGGAGGAAACCACAAAGTCTTGTTGTATGGTGAGGAAGGGGAAGTGTCACCAAGGAGAACACAAGAGACGTGTTCAATTGACAGCCAAGTTACCGCACGTTCCTGTGAATATTTTTTTTGCATTTCCCTACAGCAGACCTGTCCAAGCCCTACAGACGGCAACACACAAATTCGTCACCATCTGGTATTTTTATAGCATTTTTGGGGCGATTCTGACTGATCAGGTAAATATGACTATTCTCGGATCGTGACTCTTTATCCATAGGCGTTGTAAGCACACAGCCAACAATTACACCGGACACTGACAACTGCTAGAAATGACTTGTCCGCATTAACTCATGTACTAAGTGGAAAACGCTTCCTGTCTGGTGGAAGGTATCCAAGAACAGAACGACTTTCACAGATCAGGCCTCGGGCTTGTCTCGTTACAAGGAAACAGATTTCAGTGTTATGTCTGCACAGCGCAGGTGTTGATCAAAGTTTATTATTATGGAGTAGAACGGTTGGGCTTTTTTATAAAAAGCAATGCACGCAGAGCAGTTTCCCACAGAAACCAATCAGGTGTGGGGTCTTCGTTTCTAAATCGCTGGAGGATTACAGCTGGAAGATGATTGGTTGGTGGGGTTAACACACAGGGCCGTCTTTAGCGCAGGGCAAAGAGGGCACTTGCCCCGGGCCCAATAAAGGTTGTGGGGCCCGAACGCGCTGCCCGCAGCCGTCAGGGGGCCCGTCACTGGCCCCACTAATAGAATTTTACGGCCGCCGGTGCAGTGGCTCCCTCCGCCGCCACTTACAGAGTACAGAGCCGCTACAGATGCGGCTCTGTACACGGCGGCCGATCGCTCCTCTAGGCTGACCTCTGGAGGCCCCCGCGGGCTGCCCTCTACAGTGCCTGATTAGATCCAGCCAGCGCGGATCGCATCGGTATGCGATCCGGGCTGGTTGGATCAGGCACAAGCTTTTATAAAAATGCACTGCTGTACAGTGTATTTCTGAGATTTATAGTCCTCTATAGCTGGTGGTATCATACAGCAATGCCATAACGTATTGACCTATGCGATCTGCACCATCGCATCCTAAAGGTAGCTCCTCCCTCGGCCCCTGCCCGCATAGCATGACATGTCACGGGCTTCCCTAGAGGACGTGAGGCAGTGCGGACGGGTGCCTCACTCACGTCCAGGACATCCGGAAAGAGGCAGACTGGCACGAGGCGAGGACTGACTGAGGCAGGTAGGTGAGAAAATAAAAAAGGAGAAATATAAAGGAGATATACAATTTGTATATCTCCCTGAAAAGCTCACTCCATTTCTGTTCTGTCCTTCATATATATGTGAATAACATGATTGATAGAATTACAATGCATGATAGTAGAAAACCGCTTTTTGGTTTTGGTTTTGCGCTTAGGGGCGCTGTAATGGATGTGATATATATTCTTCAGGAGAGGGAGGTTGTTCAGGCTAATTATGTCTAATCATGGCTTTCTACTATCATGCATTGTAATTCTATCAATCATGTTATTCACATATATTGAAGGACAGAACAGAAATGGAGTGAGATTTTCAGGGAGATATACAATCATGTTGTCATTTTTTACATTTTTTTTTCTTGGTGGGGG